GTGCTCTCGCTTAAGGCCCCGTGACAATCCCACTGTCGCTCGGGGCGCAGCTGTCGAGGCGCCGGACGCGTTGTTTCGTCCGTCTGCTAACTTATTCGGATCGGTTCTCCAATCTGTCTGGATAGAATACAGTGATCTCTCAACTGACGTCCAACTTGTCTTTCTATTCTGGACCGCTTCTGAAGGTCGTAGTGACTAGAATCTCCCAGTGGCTCAGGCCGTCGCGACACGCTCACTTCCCACATCAGACAAGTGACCATCTCGGACTGCGGACTTGTCCTGGGAATGGGTAGAGAGTGAGGTCGACGGTCTCACGCATATTTCAGACTACAAACAATCTGACGCGGTGCACTATCTATCTATCACGGTGCACTAAAGCAGTGGCTTGAAAGTCTGCCAGCTGAGGGGATAACTCGGTCCTCGCTGAAGTAGGCGAGCAGGGTAGGATTTGATGGTACCAAAAAATTTCACGACGGCTCGTCATTAGCGTCCTGTCGCGTCATAACATGGATAACGAGTGGGAAAAATACTAAAGATTTGAATTCGTGCAGAAAATCAAAGCAGAAACAGCAAATCGTGGTTTTGAGTAAAGCTGGTTAATCGATAAAGTTAGTAACTCAAACACCGTAGTGAAAGAAGTGAAAAAGGGGGAGCGTTAACAAGCAAAACGTAAGTGGAAAAGAGAAAATCACGGAGCTAGAGGCTACCATGGAAATGTTAGGTTAACCACGTGTTCCAACTGTTTACAAATATCTGGTTTCAACCGCCGTATATAGGCCTCCTCTAGATAACGCGATGTCCGAGTTGTTTGTGCCCAAACAAGTGCTCGGTAGGAAGTTTTGGGGTCGACGGAGTGACCACCATCAAGCAGGTGTTTCGTAATGGAGGAACGCGGGATCTTAATACAAGATTTTAATACTAGATGTTGCGTCGTACGATATAACGTTCCACTCTCAAAAACCTCGACCGTCTTGCGCAATCTAAAATAGAGGACTTCATTGAGTTGGTCGGTCGCAATAAATCCCGCCTGCAAGCCTCCGATTACGCGCAGGTCACCGCTTCTGCTTCCACCCGGAAGTTATCATCGGAAACGACGGTCGGACTGCCGATTGTTAAATGGCTTAAGTCTGGGGTGCGTCTTCAAGAGAGACGAAAAGTCAAGGGTGACAAGGCACGCCGGCCAATGTGTCGGCCATTGGGGTCTGGTCGTGGACACTGACATGCCTGTCACAGTGGTTAGGGTTGGGGTTCAAGTTAGGACCCGGATGTAGGAACCCTCTGTGGAATTCAGAGAAAGGCTATCAGTAGTACAGGGGTTTACATTTCCAATTCCAGCCACAGTATGCCGCAAAGCCCGATTAATGTCCTCCATGCCAATGCATATTCAATGCAGTTGTAGTTTTTTCAGGACAAATAAAGTCGCAAACGGACTTTTTGCACGATGAGATCTGTTTGTCGTCAATGTAGGAAAATATGTTGCCTTTCAGATCTTACAGCACGCTGACTGGCGTCCGATGTCCTCCACACTTTAGCAGTGTTTCATTCAAGGGAGTAATAACTGTCTCGCACTTGTAGATCGTGGTTTCGACATTCCTGAAAGCACCGCCGACACAAGTGATGCCGAAGAGAGACTTCGTGAATCCGGTGAGATTTTACACATTATCTAGTTTGGGAAATATCACAGTTATCCTTCACATGCTAGTCTCTTAAACCATCTACATTTTGAAAGACCTAAACTAAATTATCGGGATTGCAAGGAGTTATCTAGAAATGATACGTTATGATATCAAGCTCTACGCTTTGGTAGTTCAATACAGTCAGTTGCTAACATTGAAGTGGAGACTTTAACTTTTGCACAAGTACTACCTCCTCTTTTCCACCAGTTTTATATTGGCTGTGAACTCTGACCGTTTGTCTGCTGAAAACTTTATATCGTCAAGTCACATGTGAGTAACGTTCATTGATGGGCATTTTCGTTTGCCTAGGTGCTCCAGATATTAGATCTTTTTTGGCTAGTGAGCCAGAACTTGTCAATGTATCTGCATAAAAATCTATTCTTTGCTATTTTAGTGCAAAAAATTGTCCAGAGGATAGAGGAAAACGCCTGTTCAAACGTGGAAAACTTTAATCTCTGGCGTAAGTCAAGTGAACGTACATGCCTCTGTAAAGCGTGCTCGAAAAAAAACTGTCTTCCCCACTCGTCGTCGGAACGCAAGCATAAAGGTCCGAGCGAATTATTTTCACAGCTGGCTAGTTGCCTTATAAGAAATCAAGTCGACTTGGAGACCACCTGTTATCCTCTCATAACGGAAAGCACACGCCGCATGACGAAGCGTCGGATATGCGATGAAACTAACAGGATCTTTAGGGAAAATAAGGATTTGCCATAGGCGGACTACAAATCAAGAAGGGAACACAAAGTGTGAGAAAATTCCGCTAACAACCACTCCACGTTCTTAGGGCCTGCGCTGCGTTTACTATTCTTGATAAAGTCCAGTCGTCCAGTTAATTACTACCTCGAGAGGTGTTACTGTCAAGAGCAGGTAAAACTGTAATGACTAGTTCTGTGTTATTCCTCGTTAAACCACGACAAACCGGTGAAAACCACTCCTGCCTGACTTTATATGTGCCAATCAAAGCTGACCGGACGTTGCTCCATGGCTCAACCAGCAGAATCTTTGACTTAAAAAGCCTTGACGAAGAACTTCAGGCCTTTTAACCCTGAAGTCCTAGTATGGCTGACTGCTGTCAGACGATAAGAGGGGGGATTGTCTGTTTCAACCTCCCCTGTCTTTGTAGTTAACACTTTCGTTTATTAACTAATCGCTGCTAGAAAAATATCTGAGGGCTTTCGGCCACAGCCCCCCGGCAAAACAGGATGCTCATATCTGGTGTTGCAGTCCGCCTTGCTTAGTAAGCATACATTGTCTATTCTTCAGCAGGCATGCGCAAAGGTTTATTGCTGAATTCGGAGTCGTAATTACGCTGGCCAAAATCAACAGATCAGTCCTATGAGCTATAAGACCGACAAGATATTCCTCAAAACCACCAAATGCAAGCAGAGCATGTTTTTATCATAGCGAACTTCCAGTGGGTGTTCCAATTGGTTTGTGCGCAACCTGACTGTTCGATTATCTGAAAATATTTATTTTCGACTCTAATTGTCCTCTTACTATCCCGCAAGCATGTGTATGTTCCAACCTCATCTTCCCATATAACCTAAATTTCTCGTTACGTGGATGACAACACTTTAAAGAAAACGTCGAAAAGAGCACACTAACGGAAGTGCCTCTTCGGCCTTCCTTTGTATGGACAAGGCATTGACCGGTCAATATTTTTATCGCGTCTCAAGCCCACTCCTCCTCGTGGAAGGCAGCGTGCAGTTAACAAGGCGACCCTTTTGTTGCCCCTTCTTCGGCACGTCTGAACATCAGGAGTCCTGCTAATATGTTCCTCTTACTTCGGCTGCTCCCATGCACCCCATCTTCATTGCGTTTTATTATCTTTAAACTCTTTCCAGTTAGTCTTCTAGCTTCAAAACAGAAGCCCTTCATTTTCTAATCCACGAAAAGGCGGTTTCCTACATTTTTTACGACCATTCGAGCAGTATTTTAATTATTATCCCGTATAGGTCATTTTGAGCAACAATGAGGATCCCCTAAGACCATTCTTACTAGAGAGTTACGTTCCACGCCACAACGTTTTATACTCTACGCAGATCGTTTTGTTCATATTAGATTTGATGGCCAGATTCCTTTGGGTCACTTTCAGGTCTTAGTACCTAGCGACTCAAGTGTTTCCCAGTGCATCCAGTAAACCTACTTTTATACTGAGCTATCTGTACGGATGCGATCTAGGAAGGCTGCCAAAGGAAAGTCCAGAAGTGCCAATCGGACTGCTTGACAGCTTACTGTCACTCAGAGCGCGGACTGTAAAATCAGCCGTTTTGTCTGTTTACTTTGTTGACTAAAGGCTGACATTGTTTTAAAAAGTTGAAGCATTTTGTCCCCGGTACGAAGCTGAAGTTGGCAGCTAAAGAACAGTCGCGAAAGTTTTTGGTATCAATAAATCCTGCCGTTCTTACCTACTTCAGCTAAAGCCTGACAGTCATTTCACTCAT